TATTATGTTATGTTCAGAATCATATTGTTACCTTTCCATATTGTTTTACTAATTTGTGCAGGAATCTCCCTGATGGAGATAAAACTGAGTTTTATTACATTTTAAGTATAGTTTTTCTTTTCAACATATGGAATAAAACCCTCTTATTTCTGTTAATTGATTGGAAATTTATGTTGCTTTTGTACTCGACATCTACTTTACATAATCCGACTTCTTATCATCTTCATTACCAATTCAATCGATAGTTATGTGCAGTTATAAAATGATAGGCCACATGTGGTTGATAATTTTGGTTTTGTGTTATTGTATCTATAAGTATGCAAAATTTTCTTTTAAATCCATTATATTGGTCATTTTCCAGTAAAGGCCACATTTTTTACAGACATCAAACTTAGTACATATAATCATTTTCTAGTAAAGGCCATCTTTTTGACAGACATCAAACTTAGTACATTAATTTGAAAAATTCATCGAATAATGTACACTAATCATTAGTGGCAGGATAAAGGCAAAATTATCACGGGCTCGACGCGGACTATTCACGGGTGAAAAATGTAGTTTGTTCATATAATTTTGAAAAATAGACTAAGCAAACGAACTCCAGTTTGTCTTAAATTTTGGCTATATAACCGTCTCGACGCAAATATTCAACGGTGGATCACATACTCAAAACTGATGTGAGACGACCCATAATCAAGCTGAAAATAGAACTCATTATTTTGGACGAACTTGGCAAATGAAATCTAATCGAGCTAAAAAATTGTGGTTACGACTTTCTTGATGAGACAAATCCAACAATGAGTCACCCAACTAAAACGTACACCATAAGACACCAAAATGACCCCTAGATAGATAACGAATTTTGGCTAAAATTATTTTGGATGTGAAATTGAGCAGGCAACGAACTCCAATTGAGATCAAATTTCGTGAATATGACCGGATTGACAAGAACAATCCGATGGTGGGTCTCCACCTAAACCAGATGCTATATGGAATTATAATTAAACCGTACAGAAATAACTCAAATTATTTTGGATGAAAAATTGAGTGGGCAAACGAACTATGATTTGGCTAAAAGTTCATGAATACAATAGTCTCGACGAGAATAATCCAACGGTAAATCACCCACTTGAAATGGACATCAGACGACTTTCGAATTAGACCGAAAAGAAAATGGCGAATTTTATCCTGCCACTAATAATTAGTGTACCTTATTTGGTGAGTTTTTCAAATTAATGTATTAAGTTTAAAGTCTGCTAAAAAGGTGGATCTTTGTTGAAAAATGACCAATAAAGTGGACTATAAATGAAATTAGGAAAATTTTCATGTATACTTATTGATTTTTAGATAATTGCAATATTACTATCCATACCAATTAAATTGTGTATATACCTAAAAGATAAATATTAATTATAATCATGCCTAAAATCAGTTACAAGGTAAGTGGAACAACCTTCCATGTTCATAATCATGCCTAAAATCAGTTACAAGGTAAGTGGAACAACCTTCCATGTTCCTAGCGCGTAATTTCAGGAAATCGGGCAAAGAGTACAAAATTTCACGAAATATTCGTCACCTATATATATAGCTTTAACATATACTGCAAATATACTGTACATATACCCGTCGAACGTCTTCCTGTTAATGTCATGAGAAAATATACCGAGAATACACTGATAATATACCGTCGAACGTCTTCCTGTTAATGCCATGAGAAAATATACCGAAAAGATATTGATAATATACCGAAAATTTTTAACTATTACGTACTATCGAACGTCTTCCTATTAATGTCATGAGAAAAAAAAATGGAAAACAGTGAAACATGACTAAAAATATACTGGAAATAAACCATACAATTTTCATTGAACAATAAAAACAAGAAAAAACTACAAAGTATAGACTCAAAAAATCAACTGAACACAAACAAAATGAACAAATAAGCAATTCTCATTCCTCCCAAAAGACTAATAATATACTGAAGAAAATCAATCCGACCGAAACAAACATTCGTCAACAAAAAAATTTGCTAATATACTAAACATAAGCTTATTTTTTGGCAGGGACGCGGGTCATATACTGTACATATACTCTAATCCAAAAAATTGTCCAAAAACAAAAATAAAAACATATACTATACATATACTATAGTTATACTGAACATATACTCCAAAATAATCAAACGAAAAAATTCTCAAAAAAGATGTCATGATTTTCTTCTTCTTCAGGGCCTCGGGTGTTTTGACCTCGCTCAGCCTCTTCGTCTTCTTCTTCGCTAATTTCAATTTCAAAACTTGAACTAATTAACATCTACGACACACGCAGCCATCGCCGAGGATCTCCATCCACGAGTCACCGAACACGCGGGGTTTGCAACCGCCGCGAACCACCGCCGGCTTCCGTTCACGTTTATCCTCCGAATTGGTTGTTAAAAAGACTTGGCTGCCTTCCATTCTGCATATTTTCAATTTCGAATCAACATCATTATCATGAAAAAGGATAGATTAATGAAATTTAACAAAAAATTATAATGGGTAACAAAAATGGATAGATTAATGAAATTTGCCCATCAAACATCAAACCACAAGTAGAAATACGTATCCAACCGATGGAGATTAGGCGGTCAGCGACGGGGATGACTAGGTGGACGGAGGCAGAGCGGCGAAGGAGTGGTGGGGGGAGGAGAGCAGCAGCAAATTGTAGAAGAAGAAGAAGAAGAAGAAAAAGATGAGAGAGAGAGAGAAGAGAGAAGAAGAATAGAGAAGGGAAAAGAGAGAGAAGTCGTATAATTAAGATCCCATTAAATTTGTTTTTACCATATTTAAAAAAATTATCTGTTACTCAATAATCTAGTATGTTTGCAAATAAATATGATAATTTTAGTTAATTTGCAAATAAATATATATGGGTTGTAAATATGTAATAAAAATATTAATGAGTAGTGGAGGATGTAATTTCCTCATGAAATTATGCCTATCTAAGTGGTGTTCACCAAACCCATAAAACCCAATTAATCGAGTTTACCATTTCTTAAAATTAAACCAAAATAACTTATAATTTAAATAAATATATTTCTTTTTTAATCTTTTATTTATTATTTTTGGAGAAAAACAAATATATATAATTATATATGAAATATTAACTTTCGATATAATCCAATTGGTCGTTTCTTTCGGTTAATTTAAAAATAAAACCGATAAACAAACGGATGTTTGATATTTCAGTTTGTTATTTAAATTTGGCCTTTTCTGTTTTAACTGAAATTTGAACACCTTCTTTCGGAAAAAGAAATGAAAAATGAACAAAAGGAGGAACGAGTTGAGTCGTATTTTATCACTCTTGCAATATGCAGGTTGCAAAAAGTTTCGACCTGAACAAATTATTTAAAGCAAACAAGTCCATTATCTATGCTGTTTTCTCTATTAAGATGAGAAAAAAGAAAAACAGAGAAGAAAAGAAAAACATAACATTGATAAAACAAAGGCTCGCATAGAAGATTATGGGGGCAAGGCAAACACTCTTATCCAAATAAAAAGCTTTACGTTACTTTCCACACTGGGATTTTTAACAAAGACAAAACCAAATCTCAAGGATCAAATATGAAATTCGTGGCCGAGCACTTTTACGACTGCAAACACCTAAAACTCGCAAATGAGCAATGAGCAACCGAGACGCTTGCTATGGAAATCATTTTAATAGAAAGTTTCCTGCAGGAGAAAAGGCAAATAAACACCGTTATAGTACAAGAGCTGCATTTATACCGACAATATTACTACCAAAATCACATAAATGACTATCTCACCTAACTGATGACCTTTATGAAATCTGTACATTAGAAAGTTTGCATAGACTGCCGTTTGTATGCTTCGTTGAAACCTTTTATCATCTTTGAGCCGAGAGTCAAATCATCTATAAATAGCCTGAAATGGTGAGCTTCAAGAAGCCCATAAAGATTTAAAAATACATATACACGCAGAGAGAGAGAGAGAGAGAGAGAGAGAAGCTGTAACTAAATCTTACGACAGACCTCATCAAGAATGTAATTGCTATATTACATGGTGGCAGTCTAAAACAGGAAAATGGAACCAATAGTGGTTTGGCCAAGCACCTTTGAACTTCTATCAAGACCATGAGAAGCCACCTAAAATAAAGTCACATGTTACAAGAAGACACGACTCAAAAACATTTAAAAACACAACTCAGAAATATCTCCAAGGATTTAGCGGTGGATAGGAGCGCTTGGAGGCTCGCTATCAACGTGCCAGAACCATGACTTTTGCTCCTTTCTCTCTCTCTCGTTTTTTTTTTTTTTCGATCTCTTCCTTTCGGTTCGAGTCTTTTTGTGTTTCTTTGGGTTTCATCTCTAGCCTACCCCGACTTGCTTGGGACTAAAGGCTATGTTGTTGTTGTTGTTGGTTTTTGTTTTTTTAAAGAAGCGAAATAAGCAAAATATTATGTATAAAATGTAAGAGGAGGCCACTACAAAAAGAGAGAGTAATCCCTCTTTAAGATGAGATATAAGCATAGATAGCCAGTATACCATATGATTTAAAGCTGCATATCGTTCTTCATTCAGAAATAATGGTTTTCCCCTACGCATCTCAACATCCTGCATCACGTAAACATACTGAAAATTAAAAATATCCAATGACCTTCAATAGCAGGAGCAAATAGACAAATACATATATATCATGAAAAGAAAGCTCTTCTCAGGTCAATTGAATAAGGAACACGGAGATTTATGTGTAAACTGCTGCAAAAAATGTTTAGAGGACTCTCCCGAGATTTCAATAAATTATGAATGGTGAATCTCTTAGGGTGTGCTTGGATACAAGTTTGTGATTGGATATTTTGGTTTTGATTGGTTTTTTAGTTAGATTTGAGTGAAATTTTATGTATGTATTAAAATTATATTTAAAATAAAATGATTAAAGTTGGTTCCATGTAAAAGTAGGAGAGTGGTGATTGGAAGTGATGAGTAGTTAAAATTATGTACGTGGATGACAGTGAATTAAATTAGATGTGATGTGTAAGGATGATTGATTAATATTATTTAATTATATTGATAATATTGAGAATAGTTGAGTTGAGTTAAATTTAAGTTGGATTTTGAGTTAAAAAGGTAACTGGTTAAAACTGATTGGATATTGATAGGAAAATTTATAACCAAGCATGCACTTAGCATCATTTACCTCTTCACCAAATGCATCCAAATACAGTGACGGCCAATGTGCATGACGTGCAGATCTCTGAAGCAAGATTGTCGTTCTCTGAACAAAATATTGCAACGTCAATAACTAACCTGATGGGATAGAAGATCCATATGTAGAGAGGAAGAACTATAGGAAGCGGTAGGGAAAGAAGAAAATTAACTTAGAAAATTTTGGTTTTGGTTAGTAATGATATTTTCTTCTTCTCGGAATGAGAATGTATATGAGATGAAATCTAATTTCAGAGTCGTTTTGATTCGAAAATAGTAAAATGAGTGAATAAGATGGGTATCAGAACCAAAGGAAAATTGTGTAATAGTGACTAGTTAAGTTAATTCATGATTAAATTTGAAAATGGAGTTGAAATGATAGGTTGGGAAAAGTTGTAGCAATATTTCTTAAATTTCCAGAAAGAATATCTAAAAGTATATGTACTGAAAACAAAGATCTGAAAACCGAAATGTACCCAATTGCAGCCATTCACGTGAACATATTACAGAAATAACCGTAAACTCAAAATCAAAAATTACATACCCTGACTAATAAAAATACACCAATGCCAGCACCGCATGCCATCGCGTGAATCTGACAACCGCTTTCCCTTAAAAACAAAATCAACCATAGTCAAAATCCAGGCTTTTCTTTTAGAAGAATAAGAGTGACTAAACATAGAAGGATTATATGCATAATGATGGATTAAATATTTCACAGCAACCTGCAACACAGTTTCCAGTATGGCGAGCACAGTTTACCACACAGCAAACACACAGCAGGATCTTCCTTCACTACCCCACAGTCGGGGCAAGGTTTCTTAATATACCTGACGCCGACACAAGTCCACATCAGCAATAAATACAAACAACAAAAGAAAGGGGCAAGATACTACAACAGGATGCAATTAGTCAACCTCTGCAACAAATCCTGATATAGATGTGGCAAAATCATCAGCTTATACGGGACTGCAGGACCAAATCTCATAACACATTGAGATTTATGAGATTCAAGAACATCAAAGAAATGTCCCAGCCAACCCCGAGCAGTCTGCCGTAATTCCCCATTACCGACAATGAGGTCAAGGGGAGGAATTTCAAACATACCCTCTAGCTTTTCAATCTCCGGAAGCTCATCCGCAATGTCAGTTGTATACTCCCAGTCATTACCTGCAGAGGGTGATGATCCACCCAGGTAGTCTAACCCGCCATCACTAAAAGGAATCATGTTTGAGCAGTTTATCAGCTTCCAGAGCAAGGCACATCTCCTCAAGTAAGGGAACGTTAAGCTGCGAACCGCATTTTTTATGTCATAGGCGGGATTAACAGAGTGGGACTGGAAACACTGCCCATACTCTCTACATTCACCCATAACATGGCGTATGTCTGCAATTATATTGTTACATGATCCCAGCTCAGATTCAGTGCTTTGTCTTTCGTTTTGAAATGCAAAAATAGCCTATCAGAAAAACTTAGCATAAGTCACTAGCTGAAGCAGGTAAATATCTTTGAAGATCAAATGAAAGAAGCTCAAGCTACCTGAATCGCTGCAACTAGATAAAAAACATGCACTAGGGATAAATAGGATTGCTTGCATGATAGTACTGGGGATGGAAGACAGAAGAGAATCCACATGAATGACGAAAATGCATCATGAGCGAGAATAGGTTTGGATGCTTGTCTCCACAATTGAACATCTGGATACCGCACATCCGGTTCGGCATTTTCCAATATGTGAAGCATATTACCTGCAAATCATGATGGGGTTAAACTTGGTTTTAACATATACAATATCTAGGGTGAAAAACAAATTTGTCAAGCAGGAATCAAACAAAAGAAACTTGCACCATGTGAAGTAACTTCTACCACACATACAACAGTTCTCTTCCCTCGCAATTAAATGCCTTCATGTAAGAACCCTTTACTTGCTTTCATGTTCTTCATGATTGTTAAAACATTCATTAAGCATGCAAGAAATGGAGGAATGCGACGCTGTTACATCAATCATGCTCATTGCTGAAGGTCATGCAACTTTGACAGCAAGTAAATAGTTTTTGGGATTCCATGGCTAAGATGAAGGTCCACAATTCTCGATGCAACGAAATAAATGGTTAAAAAAGCAAGTAAAAACATTTCAGTCGAAGGATTCTAACCTCCTTTCAGATAACTGACTGGTTCATCTGGATAAGAACCATGACATAAGGACCGGGCAAACAGCTGAAGACTCCATAATCTTAAAAACAAAGTCTGAGAATCTGATGTCCGTGTGCTTTGAACAGCATCTAAAAGCAAGGACAAGGTAAAACAGCTAGAACTTTTAAGCTCCTTGAATAAAGCACCAAGACTGTAATTTGGGCTCAATGAGCTCTTCTTCGACCGGGCTGCAATTTCAGATGAGATGAGGGAATACTTCAGTGTGTCCCACAGGATAACTGAAGGGCTCATCCTGCCAGATTCTAGAACTTTGTCTTGGCCTGGATAATACATCCCACATAATAAACGAATGATAGGTTCTAGATTTGGCTTCATTCTCACATTCCTAGCCGGTAAAGCTTTCAGACTCTCGCTACTCCCAGCAATATTTGCGGCCCTCTGTAAAAGAGACAAACCATCTCGGATATGAAGGGTACAGTCTCTATTTGATGAGGTCGAAGGGCCACAAGATTCTGTAAAATTAATGTTTAGGTCAATCTGTCGCTGAGACACCCTTGTCCCATCTCCAGGAAGAGCTGGCAGCACTGAATTAGCAAGTCCCCGACACACTGGACAAAGGAACTCACCCTGCCAGAATATGTAAGCATTATCAAAACCTAATAACCTTAAGGGCTAATGAAGGAGAAGAAACGAAAAGAGCTTTACCTGATCTGGATCCACAATGTGCCCTCCTTCAAACACAGTTCTTCTGATATATCTGCCAGCATAAAAATAAAACAAAAGAATCTTATTTATAGACGAGCCTGAAAATTATGGTACAAATACGGTGGGGTGCCTATACACAAATGAATATATCAATAATCAGAATCTAGAAGGAATGTGCATATCAGCAATATGTATTGCTGGTCCTACCCAACAAACGGCAACAAGAAATTTGACCATTATGAATGTCTTAAAAACATTTCGGTTAAGCAGAGTAAATCATTTCTACCTTTCCCTCAGTGATGACAAATAACGATCCAGACATCCTTGATGCACTGCATGTCCACAGGAAGAAACAAAAATTCCATCGGCACCAGAGGGGCCAAAGTCATCAGATCCTGGACAGATCATACTTGATTCTGATTTCATTTCTGATAAACCATTCTGTGAAGTCGAGGGGCTATCCGCCGGCTCCTCAGGCAAGGAAGCAATGTATTTGCCAAGAAAAAGAGATTCATCACAGCTGCTCCTTTCCTTGCTGCTCCCAGAAGTCGAACATTTTTCATTATTTCCCAAAGAGAAGCTGGTAGGACATTCCCTGATCATCAAATAAATGCTTTCCTCGAATGCCTCGAGGGAGTATGCGGTTTTGTCGGCCGTGTCTTTTGACGTGCAAGGAAGTTGGATAGTATTAACCAAAGGGAATTTAGCATTAATAACTTCTACGAAACCATTCAATTCATGAGTCTGCCCTGTAGAAGCCAGATCATTTAGAGCACTCTGAACAACATCTTGCAACTGAGAAGATGAGATTGTTTCTGAGCCATTTGAGGTACTGGTTGGAGATAAATCACTGTGTATGCTTGTATCACTAGAAACATGCTCTTTACCAGATCGCCTGACTTGCTCCCATGACGGCGGTCCATGGTTGACAAAACTCAAAAGCCTGGATTTCTTCAATCCAAAGTAAAAACAGAATCAGAATGTGATTGGCTGATCACAATAGTATAAGATCACTGATGTTTTGGTCTACTGGATGTTAAGAAACAACATGACATCGTTAGAGCCTCTGTATGAAATATATAATATGAGAAGGCTTCGGTTACCTGAAGAAGTACTAAAAATGAAACTGGAATTTTAGACTTGGAATCGTGGCACAGGGAACATATTACTTGGGCTGACTCTTGGTTGGCATTACTGACATCAAAATCACATTCTTTGTCCTCAGATTTATCATTCTCCATCTCATCATCTAGGCTTGAATGAAATTCCTCCAAAAATTTGGACTGTTGAGCTCGCATCTTTTCCTGTGTATCAAATTCAGAAACCATGAGCACTAGAATGTTTTGCAAATTTTGTTCGGAAACACCCAAAGCGAGAATATAGTTGCTATTCTAAATCCATGTCAGCTTAACTCTTCCACTGGTTACAAAGTAAAATGACTACTTATTAGATAACCTAAATGTTCTATTCAATAGATGCACATAGCATCAACAAAGTAAAGCTAACACTCAAAACAAAGATTAATAATACAATGGCTTTTCTCTGGACTCTGCTTCTTTTCGTTTGGTCTAAGCATAGGAGAAAAATCAAGAACAAATCAAAATCCTGCGCAAGCAAATCCAACTTTTTTAGTATGCCAATTTTTTAATATTAACTAGCAAAGTACTTTCAGTTGCATTATAAATCCATTCATTCAAAGCAACTGAAACAAGCAAGAATTCTGTAAATTAATTGAACCAAGCTATTCAGCATTTATGTAGTTAGAAAGTATCTCACCAAGATAGCAGCTTGTCTTTCTCGAGACTTCTCTTTACGCTTTTCGCTGTCGGAAGTCAAATCCATGTCCTTTGCACTATCGCTTATAATTGAATATGAGAATTGATTAGCTAACTGGGGCGTCAGTTTCTGCAATTTGTTTGTGCAACCCGGTTCAAGCTCCACCAAGGACTTGATCAAACTAGAAATTAAGGATGATAGATCAAAACTACCAGCCTCCGTTATGTTTCGGGCAGCTTCTTTCTCATGCTTCCTCATCAACAAGACAAGAAGTGACAATAAGCTCTGTTCACCATACTTGATCGTGCATATTTCTTCACCAGCAAATGCCAATATTGGAAACACATTGCCCACATAGCATAATGGATCACCTGATTCCTTGCATAATTGACACACATTGAGTGCCAATGCCAACAAATGCAGAGCGGTCAGAAGAACACCGTCTGGAGCGCGTGATGCGGCGGACTTGTTAGTGAAAACAGCATAAAAGAGAACTGCACGGACTATATGTAGCAGTGTTTTACAAGTAGCAATTCTGGCTATTCCCTTAAGCGGGTGGTAAATCTTTGTCCATCTAGGAATTTGAGTAGCCGATGCAGAAACATTACAAAACCGCAAGTATCTTTCTTCTGCTGCTTGCTGGTCCCTCAAGTTCCAGCGGGGATGATATAAATCCAGTTCCCTCCAGTAAGATGACCGCAGCTTATACATACCCTGAGAAAATAGAAATTAGTGCTGCTAATGATATATATAGTACTCAATAAATGTGATATCCACTTAGCGAAACCCAACCTGTGTCATGCCAGATGGATGTGAATATTCAGCAACTCTATCCAATACTTCTTGAAGCTCATCAACTTTTGAAAGATCGCGAGGTAGGGATTTGACAAGCTGACTACGAGTGGCGTCTCCCATCGAGAGCTTGTATACCAACTCTCTTTGCAAACATTCCGCAGTCGTTAGCCCACAAAACCTTCTTTCTTTCACTATTTGTATTAGAAGAGCAAGCATTTCGGTAACTAAAACTGTTTCATGCCTGAAATAAGAACAAATATATATTAATAAAATCACATGTAAATATTCCACACGATTCTGGTAAGAAGTAGCACTCACCAGCTCAGACTCATAACTTGGGTTAAGATGCATAATAATGAAACTTCTATGCATGAAAATACCTACAACGGCAAACACTATAAACTGAAAACCAAGGCTCTTCAGCCATTTCCTTATTAATTAGAGCCAGAAAACAGATAGAGTGGACTACTTCTGTTTCTTTCAACATTAGTCATCCTTTTCAAATGGTCTGTCTCAAGTATGACAAAACACAAAACGAAAACTATAAAGAAGGCATATGAAAATTGTTGTGTCAAAATTGAGCACAATGCAAACATATTTTGATAGTAAATTCCATATATAGAATATCAAAGAGCTTCCCTTAGACCATTTACACATCTGATATCGTCAATCCATTTAATATGTGGCAATCTAAATAGAAAAGGTGATTTATCATATTCAGCAAACATCTCCAGTCAGAACGACCTAAAACCGCAAGGAATTCGAGCAAAAACTTACAATAAGCACAGATTCATAGAATGCTAGTTTGCTTGAAGCTTCTATGATAGTTCGCTTGAAGCGATTGCAACATAAACAAATTACGGCGAACCATTTCAGCCCACCCGCATTCTTGCTGAGTGCATTGAGAAAAACAGGAATGTGTAGCTGGGTATGAGTAATGGTTCTACAGATGAAACATATTTCTTCAACACTCATTCAGTAACAACGCTTTGACATCGGATCAAATCAAGCAACAGACCAATTATAAATCTTCAATTCATCTTAATCAAATATTTTCCAAAAAGGAGAAGTGGATGAAAACTTTACATACTCACTAGACTGTTCAAGGTTCAGGGACAGATAGTTGGAAAGCCCAAAACGTTCCAGGATTCGCTGGACAAAAAGGTCTGGTGGAGCTAACGCAGCACAACACTGAAGAATGAAGAGATCAAGATCTTGACCTTGTTCGGACCTGCATCAAGTAGAGGGAGAATTCTGAGACAACAAATGAAACAAAGAAGAGCCCAACCAGATATAACAAGCAGCAGCAAGTTTCTTTTATGATGAAATGATATATGTATCAAGAGACATGCTCCCATGGAACAGTCTCCTAAAACTAATTTTTTAAATTAAAATAATTAAAAATCAAAAAGTAGAAACACTAAAGAAATAAAATAATTACCCTTAATACAATAGAAAACCGCTAGGAAAAAAAAAACTAAAAAGTACAAACCTCGAAAAGAGGGGAAAAGTAAATTGGTAAAACAAAAGGAACTGATATTTTATTATTTTTGGACTCATCTTACAGAAGGTCATCCATCAGGATATCTGACACATACCAGCGGACTGAGCGATACCACTCACTGAACAAGATTGGTGCATCCCCATTCCTGCTCCAGATCCCAGCCCGAACCTGAGCACAGAACACCCTTATTTGCAAAGGATGTTCCATCACGAAAGCAGAAAACCCATAAGGATGGCATCCATCCAAGGCGAGACCAAGGAAATCACCTAATTTTAGGGATGGTCGATCAGTCGAGCAAGCACTCGGACTATACAATGATCTGGATTCACCAAAACATTCCTCCAAAGCCCTTCTCAGAGCCATTGAAAGAAGTCGGTGCAATGGAATGTGCATGGATATTTCCTGTGCACTAACATCATATGCGATATCAGGCCAATCTGGTAAACTCAGAACCCGAAAACCCTCCAGCTCGGATGTGCTCTCTCCTAGAAGGCTCACATCACTACCACCCAAAGACGCTTGACTTACAGATTGGCTGCCCTCAGGACCAACACCAATACTCAATCCACCTTGTGGGGTATAGTTATGAGCTTCACTCAAAATAGTAGGAGGCTTACTATCCGATGAAATGGGTGATTTAAATAGTCTAGCTTTTCTGAACTTGGAGAGCGTTCTCTTCAGAGCCAGGAAATTATTACCCGGGCCATCGCTCGTTTTATGAGAATAGGAACTGAGAAAACCCAGAGTGTTGTCAAGTCCCATCCAATTCTCAATCGATCTCAAGCACTCGTGTATAAACCACAAAGCTAAAGACGGCACAGGAAAACTATCTGTTGCCTCAAGATCCAATGTGCCCTTTCCAGTAATGCTGCTCACAGAACTTTCTTGAGATAGTCTTCCAACTTTCGCGTGTCTTCGGTTGGCTTGGTCTTCAGACTCAAGGTAATATGCCCTGACTGTTTCTACACTAGTGCCATCACCAGTAGCCACCGAAAATGCTGCAGCAACAAGGAGATTGAGAATGTTAAATATGGAGTGACACAGGACAAAAGGCAAGTGGACATTCTCATTGTCATCCTCTATGTGACTCCCTATTTCTCTCTTTAGTGAGTTCATCCCTTGCACAAAAGCCAAGAGTCTCAACCACGATCGAACTAGGTCTCGCCTAGAGAGGTATAAGTATTTGGGAACAGCAGAATGGCTCAGCACAAATCTAATATCTTCAACCACACGAACTGTAGTTTCATACAAGTTTCCCCATTTAATAACCTGCAAAAGGCAGCTCAACTCAGCCATTTTTCATCTTAAAGGAGATATCATAATGATGTACTTGGAACAAGCTGAGAAAGGGGGTGGGGGAGAGAACTGTGAAAAATCCACAGAAAAATGTTCAGTCATACTACTACATGTGTCATTAGGACTGATAGATTTCAAGAAAGGGGGAAAAAAAATAATAAAAAAAAAGGGAAAGAAAGAAAAATGGACCTCACAAAACTAGCTTACAACTCATGCATTCAAAAGAATTCGAACACCCCAATTTTTGTAGTCACGGAAGCTCCTATAGCAATAGGCATAGCCTTAGTGGTGTAACTAACAGAATGAACATAAGTAATCACCACGACAATCATGAACTTCTATTAGCAATTACCAGTTCTTACAATTCTGCTCCAGCTAATCATGATATGCATCTCATCACCAGTATCATGATCAATCAGTTATCCATTGTTATATCTAAATATGCCCGTAGTAGGGAGTATGAACCCTCGGTCCACCATCACGATATTGAACTTTAGCAGTAATTCTATAATTTATGCAAACATAAATTTGAAATGTATGTCTCTTATTTCATGCAGATCATAAAATCTATTTTCAGTATATTTGAAAACTTGAAACAACCAAGAGTGATTTTATTTTTTAGCATACTGGAGAGGTACAAGATTTTAAACATTTATACCAAAATCGCTATATCTTTATAGTTCATCTGAAGATTCTGAACCAAGGTATCAGTACAACACAGGTTTGTGCGAGGTCAGATCATATCTCCATATTTAAAAAACATCACCTGCTCACTTGACCAATAACAAGTGAATTTATACCAAACAACAACAACAAAAACTGATAGATTCTACATTTTTAAAAATATAGACCAGATTATTCAACATAGCCACAAATCAATTCAGATATAAAACAACTGCAACAGGATTACCACAGTTACTAAATCTTTTCAATACCTGCAGCTTTCCATCTTCTCCGGCACAGTAAACGAAAAGTTTTTCCAAGCACTGAAACAGCACGCCCAGCAGATCCATTTCCTCCACAAGCTGTGGGGTTAGGGTAGGGACAGTCAGAATCTGTACAGAGAATGTCGGCAGTAACGGGTACCTTTTAAAAGCAGTATCGCTTCCCTCGTTTATTGCGGCATCCACATTGGTTGGGTAATAGAGCACAAAAACTTTGGCAAACTTGTATTTGAATATTGGCTCACTCAACATTTTCAGAAGCAGCTCGTGGAGCTTCCCGACAACATCACTACTCATGTTGAATCTCTCTGCCCTCAAAAGGACATCCAACAACCCCGCTGAGGAATAAACTCTCTGTGAAATAAAACTGAGCAGACTCTCACTGTATCTACAAAAGTCCAATAGCATCTCCACCACAGTTGAGGTCAACACCTCTGCAACCCTTTCGAGTTCCCCGCAATGATTGACCACTCTAGGGCTCGCCTCAGAAGAAAACTTTGCGGCAACAAGCTTCCTTTTCCAATAACCGAGCAGTAAATCCAGAACAGGGCCCAAAGACTCCGCATAATGCTCCGGAAGCGGTTGAATCTGCTCCGCACCTTTGTGCTTGGCACAGAACCCTTCGCGTTTCCAAGCAGTAATATCCCCGCAATCACAGCACCCACCACCAGTGTATATAACTGAGTAGTCATGGTCCTTGTGGTCCCCATTCTCGAAACAGGGCACACAAATTGCGCATGTAGGGTCATGCTCACAGGTCCGGCAGCGGTACGCGATATCGTTGTTCCCCCAGACGGCCCCACACACCCCTCGTTCATTGGAGCTCATTCTAGCAAGGTTCTCGAGCGCCTCTTGTGGGTCGCCTTCAAACATCAACCACTGCAACCAGGTCATGCTCTCCTGGAAAACGTCCTCATCCACCTCCTCCTCGTCGGAAATCATGATTGCATAGAACAGGTCTCGCTTGCTCAATCTGTTGGCCGTTGCATAAGCCACCAAACCAGGCTGTCCCTGGTATAACTTGTCCCGGGGAATCCCCATCTGTAAAAGCCTCTGCAACATAAAAAATAATACACCCAAATTCAAGTCTGTCCGCAAAACAAGCAGCAGTATCCATAAAGAAATATTTTGCAGTAATTTCAAATCCAAACTTCATTATAGTACAAAGTAAATCACTCATACACGCAAACATAAACTACAGTCGAAAATTTCATCAAGCGTCGGCTCAAAATTAAATAGTTGGAATATCAAATACAGATTGGATAGGGTTAAAGCTACAATTGAATAGGATTATAAAACATGATTGCCTGCTCCTGAAACAACAAACAATTCAGGGGAAATCTCAACCTGAATCATCAGATCATGGTGAGATTGAGCTCCGGATTCCGGCGGCGAGTCAACCTCCATGGCGAACATTTTATTCAACCGGCCGATGTAAAAACGCCGATTGATTTACGACTGAAGCTCACTCTCTCACTTCGACATACACACGCACGGATACATGTTGGTGTGCGAGCAAATGCAATCAAACTTCAATTAACGGGATAGAAAATTATCAAAAACCCTATAGAAGAATCTCGGTCATCGTCAAGTTCGTTGCGCCACTCTCTCTCTCTCTCTAGTCTCACTCTCTCTAATCCCTGATCTCTCTCGAGTTCTTCACAGCTAAAATATGTGTTGAGTGAAAACACCCATTTTCTTCTGTGCTTGTGCGTGTGGCTGTATATGTTGTACCGTCAAAACGACGGCGTATGGCATTGGAATCGTCTTTACAATTTAGTAATGGTATATTTTTTTAATAAGGCGTTATTATTTTGTTAAGAAAGTAATCTATATCCATATCTCTATCTATATATATTGAAAAAGAGAGGTCAATAAATCATTTATGGAAACTACATAAAAAATCTCAGTCAACCCAATTGACTTACTTATAATAGAAACCATTTAAAACTTCTGCATAAAACAATGGTGGAGATATTTATGAAATCCAATAAACACGCCACAAAAGCGCGTGAACTGTTTTGCCCGAAATTATGGAATGAATTTCGAGTCCTCTACACAGATTTCACAAATGCATGGCCTAAAAACTATGAATCATCCGATTTGAATTTTAAATTTTGCACACATGTTTTGCTCACGTTTTTAGTGAATTCATTTTGGAAATATATAATTATTTATGATATATAGATATGTATGGAAATTCAACAAGAAATTCTGTTGGACTTGCACTTTTCCCGCACATTAAGAAATTAATTTGGATATTTCAATTCATTTATATTTAAGAATTTTGTTAAAAAAGAACACTAATATTTAAGAGTTTGATTTGTAAAGAAATCTGCCATTAACCGTGAAATTGTTTGTATATTTAGTGTAGAGATTTTTCTTGCTAAAACGTTTTGTTTAATCTAATTTAATTTATCTTTCTAATTTATAATAATCAATTACAAAAATAATATTTCATTATTGTATTTCACAACAATTGATTTTCTTATTAGGTGAGTAATTAAAAAATTCACCATTCGATTTTACGTACAAGTAAATTGAAAGTCAAATAAACATATGTAAATAAATAATCTACATACAATTTTATAAAATCGTTTTATTTCTAGTAAAAGAAATCAGATTTGATATAGTAGATGATTGTTTTGCAAACCCATTTGCTTTACAATAAAAATAAATATTCGTACTAATAGATACACACATAATACCACGTATAAAAGAGAACACATAAAAAACACCGAGGCTAATATACTATCTATAAAGATATGTATTGTAAACAAAAAATAATTGATTGAATTTTATATCGGCCTTAAAAAGAAAACACATAAAAATGTTCCCGATGAGCTACATAAAAATATACTATCTATCTATATATATTGAAAAAGAGAGGTCAATAAATCCTTTTGAGAAAGTTTTAAAAACTACGATGTCAACGTTATTGACTTACTCAATTTGGCAACCCTTTAAAACGTGCAATTCGAATTTGTGATAGGATTTGACGATTGCAAATTGTGGCGCTTTTTTGTGATAAGATTTGACGATTGCAAATTGTGGCGCTTTTGTAGGTTCACGTGTTTTAATTGGTATCAAAATCTCCTTATTTATCTGCATTAGTTATGAATACAGCGTTTAAAAAGGTTATATTCTTATTTAACAGATTCTTATCTTTTTGGTTATATCCTAACAATATCATCCCATAATTTCGGTAGAGATAAACATGTACAATGTATAAAAAGGAAGTCATTAATTTTCGGCGAGATTTATGTCATCAACGCTTATCAAATATATATTGATACGGAATCCCAAATTTGCATCGATTGTTTGCCAACAATATTAGCTACTATTTTTTCCTTCCAAAATATAGCTACAAAAAATTCTAGCTATAAAGATGTTGATCTAGAGGGAAAAGAGCTTAAGAACCTTAATGGAGCCTGAAGCGAAAATTGGCGTGAACCCATATATCATCTGGTGTCCTTTCGGCCGTCGAAGTTGCAAGGCTGTTGATTTTCTCCACACCGGAATAATTCCTGGTTTCTAAAGCAACCAACTGAAGTCAAGCAATATATTGCTGAATGAGCACCAGAAAGGAAACTAAGTGATTATGGGTTGTCAGTTGTGGCGATCAAGTGATTCACAAGGACGACGTATCTATCAACTCTGTGTATTGTCTCCATTTGTTCAAGTCTTCAAGATATAAAAATACTTTATAGTGCACTCCACTAACAAATCGTTCTTGGTTTCTTGGCTTCTAGGAAGAAGATGGCCTTAAATCATGGTAAGATAACTCTCCCGGTTAACAATTTCTCATCTTCCCATTTTATAGGCAATGTTTTTTTATTTATTTATTTCTTTCTCTTAATTTTTCCTATCTCCAAGGTTAAGATGTTGCTCTGTCTATTTTAATTTGTAGGCAAATGAAAAGCGTAGAGGATGACCTTTACAACTTTGGGCTTATATTACTCGAGTCGCTTGTGGGGCCATCCAATACTTGAATGGGCGTAAGCGATTCTAGAAACATGATAATTCTTTTACTTTTGTCTAACAAATGATAGGGCTTAAACTCTCTGAGACCGGAAGGAGTTACGGAGATCGGTCGGCCGTTATTTGGGATGTCCTTTTATTTTTGGGCCGAATTTTTCGTACTAAGTCAAAATACTTCGATTGTGCTGTGTGGGCGTGGCCATATTTGTCAGGTCATTTTTTTCTTTTTTTTTTTTCGGTTCAAAAAAATGTTTTAATTAAAGAAGAAAATTAGTTACCGTAATTATGTGAAGCTATATCAAGAGATTTATATTGATACTACTATCTTCCTTATGTCAACATAATTTACATTTATTTGCAATGATTAGATATTTTCAAATCATGAAAAGAAGAGAATACAGGTGAAAGCAGCGACTGAAGGTTTTGAAGGCACTTTTGATACAGGGTTTGATTCACAACAGAAGGAGCTAGATGATGGACAAATACTAGAACACGTGCTTAAGGAGTATTTGGGTTTTGGATCTTAGATAAGTATTTGATTTTTCAAAGTTGTACGTGTGTGTATATATATTATTAATGATATGTACGAATATCTAGCATACGTTTCACCGGTGACATCTCTTAACAACTACTATTTCATTGAACACAAAAAATCCATGATCTAGAGATGCAAAGGGTCTTGGTGAAGAAGAAATGCAAACTATGGAGCAAGATAAAGTAAGAACTCAATAACTCATGTGACATGTGAAGGTGTAGCTTTTATTTTTAAATGTGCCATTTGTTACGTTTATGTTCATAAATTAAGAGTTCAATAACTCGTGAAATGTGAAGGTGTAGCTTTTATTTTCAAATGTACCATTTGTTACTTTTATGTTTAATGTCGTTAAAGATTTAACCATATTTGTAATTATGCAGAATAAATTTTAACACGATAATTTTATTATATACTTTGATTCATTTATGTATAATATTTTCTTCCACTTCCTGCATTAATTACATTGTAAATATTTTAAATATGAGAAAATTTCATTATAAGGTCCAACTTTGTATAAATTTAAGGCTTGAATTTATTATCTCTCAATAGAAGACTCACATTTTAAGTTATTCTCAATTTAAGCTTTTTAGTTAACTTCTCATTCTATATGAACCAATTGACTTTATTTTATGATATAGTTATGTAAACAAAAATATTTTTCCTTTTTGTAATTTATGTTGTACATACTAATGAAAATATAATTTATTATCAGTTATGTGCATTGTATGAAGGAATTTATTCCTTCAAAAGACACATAATCTAGATTTGGTTAAATCACATGAACCAAAAACACGGCAAAAAAATATTAATCAGTGTTGATCTTGAAGATCTTTTTTTTTTTTTTTTTCCGATTATTAGTTTATTTGGGGATTACTAGGTTTAATGGTTAGAGAACTTCTATTAGTTTTTTTTCTATAGTATTTGATGAAATTTGGTAATTTTGAATTTTAGAAATAATTGGCAAATATAGTTGTCCATTTTATTTGATGAATGAATGAAAAATTTAGCATATTTATTTAATTAATTATTTTTTTTTGTACAAATTAAAAACCGTTTATCTTAATAAAAAGAAAGTGATTAATTTATTATTATTATTATAATTCAAAGTGATGCGCTGTAGCTTTTCTTTAAAACAAAATTAACTCAATAATAACTTGATTGATCTCACGTTCGTTTCCAACATTATAGCATTGTTTTTTTTAAAAAAAAATATATCCCAATGTAATGAATTAATATGAATAGTTAACTACTCTATAAATCTGAGTATACCGCTTGGAATCTCGAAAAATGAATAAAATTTACAAATATACTTTTTGAATTAAAATAAAATTATGAATATAATACGTAATTTAAAAAATTACAAATTTCTATCTCGATTATTTTCTAACGAAAATTTATAAATATAATCATATTTACGGGGAATGAACTGACGGGAGACACACATGGCTAATACAATTTTTACTTATAGATTTGACAAAATCCGGCAGTCCCTTTTTCTTTTATATATCACATATCATTGCCTAAATTATGATTTTAATTTTAAAAAAATACCAAATCTTAAAGTGGAGTTTGATTTATTTATTAAAGGAATATGATCCCTTAAATGAAGGAATTTAATTCCTTGAATAAGCACATAATCTGAACTGTAAATCTAGATTTATTAAGAATGTGTGTCAACAAATATGAGGGTCTATTTAAACTTCATACAAGGACGGATTTGATTATATTTCAAATTCAATATCTAAAAAATTGAAATTTTAGAATTTTACTTACTATGAAACTCATTTTATTATTTGATATGGTTAATTTTAACACGTTTTTTATTCTGAAAATATCTACACAAAAAGGGATTATACATAATCATAGAATTATTATATGATAGGGCATCTATTGGTTGGATATCACATATCATTGCCTAAATTATGATTTTATTATTTTTAAAAAAGCAAATCTTAAAGTAAAGTTTGATTTATTTATTAAAGAAATATGATCTCTTAAATGGGACTCGATTGGTTGTGACTAAACTATCTACTCATGTTCTCGAATGTAAAATATTGACAGGAGATCACGCTGGTGATTGGTTGTGACTAAACTCTCTACTCATGTTCTCGAATGCAAGATATTGACAGGAGATCATGCTGGTGAGATGGTCTTGATTCCTAGGATGAATATC